TTTTGGATATGATCGGCAAAAAAGCTTTTGCTAATATATAAAGTGAAAACCAGTATTCAAAATCTACCTTTTAACCTTAAGTAAACTCGTAGAGCAGGCTAAAATACATTTATTTTATGATTTTCAAGTTTATGTTAAACTTGATTCATAAAAAACTTAGTTCACTCATATTATATCGAATCACGTGATTTGACTCTGCTTTAGACGACCCCCTTATTTAGAAGTAATAAATCCTAATTTAGTAATGATCATCATAAAATAAAAATTCGGACTATTGATGAGTTTAGGTGATATACACCATATGTCATCATTTATTTTAGGAAATGTAAAATTAAAACACAATTCTGACTAGAATTATATTAACTACAAGTGTCTAAAAATAGAAGGTGTGTAACATCATCATGGTCTTAACCCCTCCCCCTTTAAGAAATGACGTCATTTCTAGCCATCCCCTTAGAGCTTTAATTATTTCCCAAAGTCTTTATTTTTGTTAATTAATCTAACTGAAAACTGAAAAATTTTTTGTTATTAAAAATCCTATTGATTACCATTTTATTCATTATGGCTTCAATTAAAGTTAGAAATTTTCTTAAGATTTGTAATTAATTTTACTTAAAAAATCAGTATTAACAATCTTTAAAATATCAAATTAGCAATTTTTTATTTTTATCAGTCTTTTTCAAATTTTTAATAATTTAATAACAGTTATTGTAATGTTATTGTAAAGTTTAATTTTGAAAGTTGCTTAATGCCCTTAACTCCATAATATGTAAATTTGATTTATTTTATTTAAACAACAATTTTGTATTCTAATAATGAATAAGTCTTATCAAAACTGCGCCATATAATCGACAAATCACATGTTTACGGAATCACGTACCTACACACAATGTGATCAGTATGTGATCAATTATACAAGAATTTTTAAAGATAGGATTATAGGAAGATACTGTTATATTTTAAGAAATTTGATTGTTGAGAATTCGTTATTCACACAATCAAATGTAATTAATATATGGACTTGCAGCATATCTGAGAAGAAATTATGTACAAAATTCACATCAACCAACTTGGATTATTTGTCTCCTATCCTTTTCACATTCATGATAGAGTATCATTATTTGTTATAAATATATTTTTTTTGTTTCTTATTGCTATATGTGAAATAGAAAGAAAGACAAAGAAGATCCAGAGTATTTAACTTAATAAAGTAATTAATAATAGTTCGTGTATTTTTAAATCAGACAATGAAATTTATTAATTTTATTAGCCAATATAATTTGAATGTAAAATATATTTATGTATTTATTTATTTGATAAAAAAGACTCTCAGCAAAGAAAATTAGATATTGAACGAAGCTAATTTATTTAATTGATTACAAGATTAAAACCCACCAATATTTAAAAAAAGTATGATATAAACCAAATAAGAAATAATGAGAGCAATATAGTATATATTTACTATTTATAAAAGAGATATTGCTGGAGCCTTTTTCATCATGTTATTCAACCATGGATATAGTAACTAGATTATTACTACTGTCTATACGTAGTTCAGAACAGTAAGTCGTTAGATATTCTGTTCCAATAACGTTTACATTTGAGAACCATAAGTTGGCGGGTGGTAAGAGTACCAATGTTGATTTGTTGTTGACAAGCGCACGATAAGAATGGCCTGGGTCGGGACTTGTTACTTTGAATGAATTAAAAACTTCTTCGCAGATATACGTATTAAAAGTTCCTGTAACGATAATAAAGTGTACATTCTTTGTTGTTTGATTGATTGTTACCGGCATAGAGACAATAGGTTTAATAGTAGGTCCAAATATAATTCCATTTACTTGTTTCACTTCGTTTGTATGAGAATCTGATAGATATTCCACTTTAAGGCTTTTAGAAACTTCATTATGTAGTTCTTTAGAACGAATACTATAGCCATAAAATCCTGACGCGGTCATTTCATCCATTTGGTCAATCATCTTTAATTTTTTTTATTTTGGAGAGTATGAAACTGTTTTTTATTTTTCGCTTTTTTTTTTGAGTAAAGAAAGTTTGAAAATATTTAAATATTTTGAATATTATATATATATTTCTTACCCATGATGTCATAATATCGTGTAAGAATTGGAGCCAACCATTCAATTACTACGGAAATAGTATCAGCCAGCTAACTCGTACGTGACATTACGAAATCAATGAATTAACTATTTGAGAATAGTCTTAAATATTTTTTAAACAGAACGGATTACATGATAAAAATAATGTATTAAACATTAATTAAAAAAAAATTCTTAACGTATAAATTTGAAGTATAAGCTTCACATGATAATTTTGTAATTAAATATAATAACAGTACAGTTTTATCAAGAACATTACGTTTAACTTTATCGGATTCAGTTTTGACCACCACTTAATTGAGTGCCTTTTCACAAACTTGAACTTTAAAATTGAGTATATTGGCTTGTTCTTGCAGCAGGTCCAATTTCATTCTCAGTAAAACCCTTCTTTTGCATAAATAATATTTTCACCAATAGTTAAATCAAACAAACCAGGTTGATGAAATATGTTCTCTTAAATTCATTATTGAATGCAAACATCATGTTAATCCAAACATTATTAGTAATACCGTAATAATAATGAAATTACAAACTAATGTTATGATTTTATTAGCGACACCGTCGTAGTGAACCTACGACTCTCTTGGTATTAAAGCTTTTTATAATGATTATACTTGTAGCTTGTTTGCAGGCTATCTCACTATCGTAATAATTGATGTAATCCAAGATGCTCCGATTATTAGAACTTCTTATATTAAATCAGCTATTCGCCCTCCAAGTAACTAGCGAATTTTCTCTGAAATTTTTTTTTCGTCAGCAAATATCATGTAATAATTGAATGTTAAAAATTTTTTTTTTAGGTTTTGTTATTAAATCTAGATACAATTTTACAATAGCAGGTTGCCTTGAAGAATACTTTAGTAAGTCTATTATATTTTTAATTATCTATATTTTAACAATTATCGTTATTCTTAGAACTTAATAGATTGTAAATCAGATGTGACTCAACCTGATAGAAAGTATGAACCAACCCAGCTTTATTATGGAATTTATCAATCATCACAACAAGTTTTATTTTATGGTAATGATTATAACCAACTGGATTCTATAACTATATCTTTTAGTTACACAATCGATAATAATTGGGGTATGGTTAGTTGTTGAAGATTCAGGTAAAGTCATTAAAAGTACTTTGTAATTTAATTTAAAATATTTAACATTAATAGTATCAAAAATTTAGATAATGATCCGTTTGTTAAATATTTTAAGGGAAAGGAATTTATGAATTACCTTAAGCGATATTGATTCACTTTCCACATATAGTTTGCTGCTAAATCAGGTATATTTTAACACTTAGACAATATAAAGTCGCATATCTTAACGAACTCTTTTTGTAGTTATACCAATTTGTATATTCATCGTAAAATTGGAGGAGGTTATAAAACCAAGTCGGATGAATGATTTGGTATTCCTCCCGCTTATGAGAGTAAACCATATATTGAATCTACTTTATGTAAGTCTTTATTTAGTTTTTACTAAATTTTCAAACATTTAGTTATAATTTTAATTTAAATATTACTTTAAGCCGCTATTACATTAAATACAAGTTCAAGTATGGCAATAGCGATCATTAATAAAACCCAAGGGTAATACTGTTCAAATAGACAAAGAAGTTAGGTTTGTATCTTAAATATGGTCATTGTGATTCTATAACCGTAATAAATATTACACGTACGGCGAGCAATATTTTATTTATTCGTCATTACTTTAAGGATTTCATTTACTCAATTAATTAAAAATAATTATTAAATCATATAAAGTACTTAAATGGTATGGGGTTAACGCACCTATAAAGATACATAATATATATATATATATTATGAAATAAGAAATTAAGCTCACCAAAAAGTAATGTATATATTGCTGCTGCTAATCCCCAGATATAATAAGACCATGGGGAATTATACAAATGTATTGCTGCAAGGAAGCTTAAAAAACCTCCCAATAATTCCATTTTTGATACATATATCGATACTAAAGCAAACCATGATCTTTCAATGGCTGAAAAGGTTGAATTAAATTCTATAATTGACGCTACTTTGTACATCTGTACGTTTATAAGCTACTGGTAATACTGCAAATATAGTTGTTACATTCGATAATATTATTTTAGATGATTAAACTAGATAATAATCCGACACTACTTGCTAAAGGTTAAAGCCCTTTTAGAGTTACTGTTGTGATTACAACAATTAGGTTTTTTGACTTGCATTCCTTTATTACGGACACAAATCACACAATACAACCTCAAGTTTTAACCTAAAACGGCTAATATGAAACTCTGTTTGTGTGGTTACATCAGTCGTCGTTGTCGTTAGATAGATATTACATGACGTTTACAACCAGCTTTCAACTATTCATGATGAGCGATAAAAAAACGTAGAAAAATTAAACAAGTTTATATATTATATTATAATAAAAATTTCATGCATTTCAAGCGATAAAATATAAGCAAAAATTAGGCTATAATAGATCAAGATGGTGTGACATTGTAATCATTAAACCTTCTTGTTGTAACTCAGTTATTGAATGAAGGATATCTGTTTTCAATCGATATCTCTTTTCCCCATCTAATAACTATTTAATATAATCATATAATCACTTACAAAAAATAATAATTCAAATTTAGTTTTCATGTAAATATTCTTATAATTCTTATTATTCTTGATAGTAACAAATATTATTCTTCAAAAATAAACATATGTTCATTACGTGAAAGAAAATTAAGTGTATATGGTAAAAAAACTTATCACACAGTTAAATAAAATTTAAAATTTAAACAATATTGAACAACTAATTGAAGTATGTATTTCATAAATTTAAACATAATATTAAATTAAATTACACAGATTTAACATAAGTTTTATCGTGATAATCAAATATGAATACTCCTAATGCTGTTGAATTGGAGGTGATGGCATTCCCGTTACAAATTGTTGTTGTAATTGTTGGGTGCAAATTGTTGATATACAGGAGGATATTGTCGAAGATATGCAGAAGAATGTTTATCACCATCAGGTGGAATTTGAATTTCGGCTCCTTGACTATCCGGATGATTGGATTCTCTTCTAATTTTTGTCTGATTTCTCTTTATGTGCCTATAAGTTAATGAACATACTACGAATATTGATAGAACAACTAGTACTGATCCAACTGATACCCCAACGATTACCGTTTTACTCATCGTATTTTGTGAAGAAGGTATAACTGTTTCTGTAGGAGTATCTGATTTTTTTACTACGCTTATTGTTGATGATGGTGTTGATGCTTCTGATAAAGGAGTTGTATTCCATCCAATAATTGCTTGACTTAGGCCAAAATAATGAGTTGAATTATTACTTTGATCTGTAGCGGACGGTAAATCTGCATATATTCCTATGGAAAAAAAAAATAATAATAAGATTAAGTAAACGAGAATTATATTTTAAAAAACAAATAACTTACCAAAAGCAAGTACCATAAGAGCCCCTTTTATTGAAGCAGAATGATAAGCAAGTTTAGGTGCGTTAGCACTATAATTATATGCTGGTACCGACCACACCAAAGTAATAGTATCCAACATAACAAATGTTTCTTTAGCTGGTACGTCATATGGTGTATCAGCATTAAAGTACGTTCCTCCGTATACATAAATTTTACCATCAACTAAATATTGAGAGAATTTATGTTAAAGTAATTGATATTTTATAATTTGAAAAAAAAAACAAGAGAAAGAAAAATGAATAGATAAATTACATAGGACAGCTGAATGAGCAATTCTAGGTCCTGGAATAGCATTAATATCTGCAGTTGTAGTTTTCTAAAGAAGAATAGCAAATTTCTTATATTAAAACTTTATGTCATTAATATTTCTGATACAATAATCCAACTTACCTTTAAAGACCATTTATCAGCTACAATGTCATATTGATAAATCTATAAAAACAGATATTTTAAATTATTAACATATTTCCAAATACTTTATTTAAGCTTTATAAACTTTATTTTACATACCTCGGTCATTGGAGAAAAAACATACTGTTGCGATCTACCTCCAATATAATAAATAATTCCATTAACTAATGTTGCAGTATATCCGGATAATGTACCAGGAGAATCAACTATGCTACCAACTTGCCAAATTAAGTTAACCGTGTCAAATATATCAAATTGATTGACATATATTAAAGCTGAACCGACCGGAGTATCCACTCGCCCGCCAAACAAATAAATTTTTCCTTTATAACTAACAGAACTCCTTCCTACACGTGTTGGTAGAGCTTTTCCTTGAATTACTGGTACACTTAATTCATATGTCTTAGTATCAAACCTATGTAAATAATTCGTATTTGTTTCATCATAATGTATGCCTCCTATAATAAATATTGAATCTTGATTAATGCCTCCGACATCGGCAGTATGTCCGTAAGTAAATGGTGATTTTACTTTTAAATCTGCCCATGTTAAAAAATTTTCATCATTATCTGTATTAAGATCAAGATAAAAAATATCACTTTCAGGATTTTGTTTTGAAAGTGGTTTACTAGGATTAGCTCCTCCTATATAATATATTTTATCTTCAATAAGTACTGCTTCAGCACCTATTTTAGGTTCTGGTATAAATTTCTGTCCATATACTATTATTATATTAAATAATTGATTTAATATAATAAGTATCATATAATGGTTTAAATTTCTATACAACATTATTGACTTTATGTTTGTTGATAAGCAAAACGAAAAAAATTGAAGATATGAAGGATGTGGAAATTGCACTTCCAAGAATTCATTTGTTTAAATTACTTTTCGCATTGTGTTCATTCATATGCATGCACAAACATGTAATTTTGTGTCGTAAACAACCAGTTTTTTGTCGCTTTTTTTTGTTTACAATGATGGTTTCACAATCAACAATTATTAATTATTGCATATCTTATTATAATATTACTCTTTTGTTTGTTGTATTTTAATTCGGAAATTGTTAAATTTGGAACTATGAAATAAAGTTTTTGAGGAAAACTAGACTCCTTGATATTAATACCTAATGTACTTCGACAAAAATCCTTGTGAAAATAATTCTAAATTCTCGATTCATTCAGCTGATGAATTGTGCTTTGAAGGATTATTGGGAGGACTTTCTTAAGCGAGAAATTCTGAAGCAATAAAGTTGTACGACGTAATGTGTCCGCGACTCCGCGCCCATAAAGGAATAATGGTTTTACATAATTTATTATAAATCAAAAAGCAATGCGTATGCAGTATTGTTGCTACTAATCCTCACGTATCATCTATTAGGAAGTAATGATTTACACATCTCTTAAAACTGAAATTGAATTCGAAAGACATTATAATATTTTTTTTTATTTAAACAAAAAAAAAAATTTTATTATTTAATTTTAAAATTGTCATATACTGTATGTCGGTAAGACGACCCGCCAGTGAGATAAAACATTTGTCGTTGAAATGATTGTCGGTGAAGCTCGTAATAATTGGTGTAGCCCAAGATGCTCCAATTGCCAAAACTTCCTTTGTTGAATCTAATACTATTCGCCCTCCAAGTAATAATTAACGAATTTACTTTGACAATTTTTTTTTTGTTACATGAGTCATTATAATAATTGTTTTTAGATTTTATTTTTAAATCTCAATATAATTTTACAATATTAAGTTGTCTTGAAGAATATATTAGTAAGTTCATTATAGCTTTAATTAAATTTATAATATATTTCATATTAAAGAATCATAATTTTATTCTTAGAAATTAATGATACACAACCTACAAGTGTTAATTGTATGATGTCAGATCATAGTGAAAAATATGGACCGGACCAAATTTATTTAGGTGTCTTATAATTATGATAAATCAGATAATTATAATGCTATATATAGGACTTATAGTTAATGATGCTAATTATACACCTGATCAAAAGCTTTAAGCAATGATTGAAATAATGGCTTTCGATTCGGGTAAAATCATCAAAGTACTGCTATTATATGTAAATAAAATATTTATAAATATTTATAAATTAATTTAGATTATGATCCGCTAATTAAATATTTTAAGGAAAAGAAATTTTATGAATCAACTTCAAGTTATGATAATTAATTATTACAATGAATGCGTATACTTTGGTTCTAAATCAGGTATAATTTATCATTTTAACTATAAAATCAGAGATCTTAACGAATTCTTTTTTTGTAGCTCTTCCAATTTGTGTATCTTGCTAAAATTTCTGAATTTTTAAATTTAATTTTAATTTTTTTTTTAGTGGCAACTTCACTACCAATAAACAACATACTAACTCATTTATTTTAATATCAAATTATATAAATAATTTGTATTTTTTTCATCCGAATGCGCCCCTCCTATAATATATATTGAATCTTGATTAACGCCCCCGACATTGGCAGTATGAGAGGAAGTCTGTGATAATCTTACTTTTAAATCTACCCATGTAAAAAAACTTTCTGTATCCGAATTAACATCAAGATAAAAAATATCGCTTTCAGGATTTTGTTTTGTTTTATTAGGATTATCTCCTCCTATATAATATATTTTATTATCAATAAGTACTGCTATATGTAACATTCGAGATTCTGGTACAAATTTCTGTCCATAAACTATTATATTAAATAATTGATTTAACATAAATAATATTTTAAATTTCTATATAACATGTTGATTGTTATGTTAAGTGAGAAAAAAAATTGAATAGAAGGTATGAAGGCTGTGGAAAATTGTACTTCCAAAAATTCATTTGTTTATTTCATTCACATTGTGTTCATTCATATGCACACATAAAAAGTAACCAAATTTGTGTAAATAATTTCTCGCCGCTCTTTTTTTGTTTACAATGTGATGTTTCACGATCAAATTATTAATTATGCATCTCATTATAATATTACTTTTCATAGAAAATCTAAATCTTATCGGGAATTTTTAAATTTGGAAATGCGAAATATTTCAACTTAAAATATTTGAGAAAACCTGAAATTCAATTTCATATCAATTAGTCCATTCATCCTTGATTATAAACTTCACTAAATACTTTTAAATCATGAATTTAGTATATTTATTTCGTGGATACCGGCGTAGTGAGCCTACAACTCTCTTGGTATTAAAACTTTTTATAATGATTATACTTGTAGCATGTTTTACGGGCTATCTCGCTATTGTAATAATTGATGTAACCCAAGATGTTCCAATTATCAGAACTTCTTTTGTTTCTTCTCCTATTCGACCTCCAAGTAATTGGCGAATTTACTTTGACAATTTTTTTCGTTGTGTAATTTAATATAATTATTGAACGTTAATAAATTTTTTAGTTCTCTTATTTAAGTCTGATTATAATTTCACGGTAGACGTTTGTCATGAAGGATATACTAGTAAGTTCATTATAATTTTAACTAAATTTAATTATATTTTATATTTATAATTTAATAAAATTTATTCTTAGATGATGATTTTCAAAATACAGTGGTAGATTGCATGGCAGATATTATTCAACCTGATGAAAAATATGGACCATCCCTTCTTTATTATGGAATTTATAAGCCATCACAAAATGTCTTTTTTTATAAAGATACTAATGGCTCAAATGAGATGAATAGTATAATTATCTTTCTTACCATAAGTGATAGTAATTACACATCTGATAGAGTTCGAATGATTGAAATGAGTGCTTTTGACCCAGGTAAAATAACAAAAGTACTTGTAATTATATTTATAATTTTAACTTAATTATTTATAAAACAATAGAAAATTCAGTTGATAAATGGATAATTGATGGTATCAAGGAAAAGAAACTTTTTAATGAAGATAATAAATTAACTTCATTGAGTGATGATAATTCAGTTGATTTGGACACATATGGTCTGGTGCTAAATCAGGTATATTTAATAAAATTATTTTAAAATCAGGATTTTATGAGCTCAATTTTTTTTTTGTAGTTTTTCCAATTTAGATATGCTCGCAAAATCAAGGAGGTTATAAAACCAAGTTGGATGAACGATTTTGGTATTCCGCCAACATATGAAAACAAATCATATATTGAATCTACCTTATGTAAGTCTTTATTTACTAAATGTTCACTTTCAAATATAAATTCTAATTTAAATAATTTTTATTTTAAGTGTCAAGTTCTTTACCCATGAATACAAGTTTAGATAGGCCATTGATATCGATTTATATAATTCCCAACAGCAATACTATTCAAATAGACAGAGAAGTTAGGTGTGTATCGTAACTATAATTGTGATTCAGACTATGCGTAAAACATTATTTATTAGGTTCTAACTATAATTCTTTTCGAAAAAGAGCTCGTACAGTGAGTAATCTTTATTTAATATTATTTAAAGATCCATTTATATGATTAAATTGAAAAATTAAACCGTATATACAGTACTTAAATGGCATGGGCTTAGTAGGAGGTGCATGGGGATTGGCAGCAGCAATATATGCATGGCTTTTTGGTAAGCTTAATTTCTTATTTAATAAAAAAAAATTATATGATTATATAATTCTTTATCCTATTATAGGCGCGGACGCATTACGACCATGGGGGATTGTGCAATTGGGTTGCTGCGGATTTCCACGCTCAACACAAAAAAAGCTCGAAAAAACCCTTCCGCTAATTCCATTTTTTGATACATCACGTACCGATACTAAAGATCATCTTTCAAATCACGGTCTTTCATTAGCTGAGAAAATTGAATTAATACCGTTATTACAATCAAGAATTGATAGTTTAGAATTGTTTTTACAAGAATATGTCGTTGATGTAAATTATTTAAATGGTATTCGGAATAAACTATCTAGATCTAGAGCGACTCTGAATTCTACAATTGATACCATGAATAATCTTAACAATCAAGTGATACAAGATATGAGAGTAAGATTTGATAATACGAATTCAATGTACACACCGATTTCTGCTAGAGCTGCGCAGCAACAACAAGAAGGTTTAATGGTTACAGTTCCAACACAATCTAATATTTCTGATACAAATAATACTTTGTATGATAATAATCTAAGACAACAAAACCCTTTATCTCAGCAGCAACAACAATAATTTACATAGGCTTTTATAAAACATAATATTTATTGTACTGTTTCATACTTTCTTAATTTAATTGAATGAATTAGGTTTATTATAAGAGAAACTTTGTGAAACATTGCACTTCGAAAAATTTATTTGTTTAAATTTCTTCTCACAATATGTACTATACACAAAAGGTTAACTAAAATTTTGTGTCGTAAACAAATTATTTGTGGTTACGATGGTTTCACAATCAACAATTATTAATTATTGCATATCTTAATATTGTTTATAATATTACTCCTATAAAATTTAGAACTATGAAAATTGGCATTTGAGAAAAACTACGCCTATTGACAGTTCAATTAAATGAACTAATATATTTTGACGCTAAATCAGTTATATTTTATCATTTAAATTAAATTATCTTTATCATAAAGTCCGAACTCTTTTTTGTAGTTCTTCCAATTTGTACAGTATATCGTAAAATTAGCTGGCTTTTAATCAAAGTTGATGAATGATTTTGGTATTTCACCTAATTGCATAAACAAAATCATCTATTGAATCTGCATCTATAATTTTTTGAAACTTACCATTTGAAATTCACCGTTTCGAAATTTCCAAGCAGAAACGAATCTACAAAAAAAAGAAACGAATAATGTTTCTTATTAAAAAAAATAAAATAAAATAAAAATAAGTTTCGCAGCGCTTATTCCGTCTTATTTGTCAATATTTTAAGAATTCCATTTACAAAGTTAATTACAATAAATTCAATCAATATGTTACATGTGCGTGGGGTTAGCATCAGTAAATATTAGCATACATACCTGTCTCTTATACACATCTAGATGTGTATAAGAGACAGATTCGGGATAGAGCGAATTTGATTTCATCCATATTATTATGTAAAACGAGATTATAATATTACTTTTTAGTATGCATGTTTGTTTGTGTGGGGGGTAATTGTAAATTGTAATTTAAATGACATCACGTGGTCAATAAAATAATCTCACAATTTAGTTTATTGTTTTCAACGCAAATAGAGATTTTTTTCGTGTACTGCAAATAATACAATAGTTTTCGCATTAAATTGAACGGTAATTGCAAATATAGTATAGTTTCAAATATATTTCCTAGTACTGTATAGTTTATTTTATTTTTTATTTGTTAGTCTGCATGCAGTAAGGGCTGGTTCGTGTTACAAAAATTTTAAAATTGTACCATGGCATTTTGTTTGTGAAATACTAATCATCAATAAATAGTATGTGCCTCAAAAAAAAGTTATTCCATATTTTCGGTGCTTCTTTAGAAGATTTTGTCGATATGTAACAGATGGAATTTTAATATGGAAATATTCGGACAAAAGTTTTATAGGAAAGGTTACATCACAGATAGTATTTTCGAATTGGACAACGAAATCATTGTAATTGTTATTTATTTTTTTTTCTCTTACGGAGCCTACCCAATTCATTTTTACCCCGAAGCAGTCATACGCACATGTTCATAATTGATCGGCAGTAATTCCGGCCAAGTTATAATTTTGGCCAGAATTCACACAATCTCCTGCGTATGACTTCGTACTTATGACTGCGTATGAAGCGTCGGAACGAAATGAATTGGGTGGTCCATTCTTTTTGCAATTAGCTGCAACATCCACTTTATTTGTATGTCATCATATACTTTAAGAATCAAATCAACAAAAAAAAGTTTATCGACTTTTTACAGTGAATTAATTTTGACTGTTTCATTACCCTAGTATTAATGTATTGGAATCGATTAACAGTTGGATAGATTATTCAAGAATTCTTTCCATTAACAAATTTAACACCGCAGTCAAGTACCTTCATATTTCGTTCCTTTCTTGAAAAAATTTAATCATAGATTTGCACCGTAATCTAAACTATTGGTTCTGGTAATGGAATTGAATTATTTATTTAATAATTGTTTATAATTATATAAAAAAATTGTATTTATTTAATTAATTGTTATTAAAAATAAAAAAAAAATACATATATGAACAAAAACACTTAATTTTAAATATAATTTAAGTTTTTATGGAGATTCAGTTAAAATAGTAGGAGGATCTTGTTGTTGATATTCAGAATGAGATTTGTCATCATTAATTTCAACTGAGTTCGGATCATTGGGTACACCTCCTAATTGTACTTTACTTTTCTTCGTACGTTTATAGTGAGCTATTGATAATACTGAGAGTATTGTTAAAACAAGTGATACTGAACCAATTGATATACCAACTATTACCACTTTACTTAATGAGGAAGGTTGTTGTGGGTTTATATTGGTATTTGTAGAAGTCGGAATTTGTGGTTGTGCTTCATTAGCATTAGCCATATTCTTAATTAAGGATAAACTACTCGAAAAAATTTGTGGATAACCAAAAACAAATATATAAATATCTTTATTAGTTTGATCAAAACCATCTGGCTTGTCCGTAAAATTTCCTAAAAAAAAACGAATATAAATTATTTAAAGATTAAGAAAATTGTAAGAGATTATTAAAGAGTAAACTTACCAAAAGCGATAAACATAACTTCACCTACTGCCGTAGCAGTATGAAGAAAAAGTTTCGGAATAGGATTATCTACCCTAGCATCAAATTCTGGTATTGACCATACTAATGTATTAACATCCAATATCGCAATCGTTTCTTTAGCTGGTAATTTATTTTGTATATCATCAGAAGAAAAAAATCCTCCATAGATGACAATTTTTCCGTCAACTATATAAAAAAGTAAAAAATTTAGGACGTTTATACAGTGATATCAGATGACTTTTAAATGGTTTAGTCAAAAATAATTACTTAAAATGGAAGTATGACCAGCCCTAGATCCTGGCATAAACTTTGGGTCCGCAGCCGTAGCTTCCTAGAAATTTTTTAAAATTATTTATTAACGATTGATTTAGTGGTATTAAGATATGTTTTTACTAACCTTTAAAGACCATGTATTTCCTACAATATCATATTGATAGATCTATAATGAAATAATTAACATATTAAAATTCAAAACATTTTAAAATATCAAGTAGAGGAGTTTAAGTTTACTACGCAACATACCTCGGTTAATGGAGGATAAACGGTAACTTGTGTTTTGCCACCAATATAATAAATAACTCCATTAACTATTGTAGCCGAATGTAAGATTCTGGCAGTTGGAGAATTAACTAAGCTACCAACTTGCCAATTTAAATTAATAGTATCAAAAATATTAAAATCATTAAAATATAAAGTATTAATGCCAGTAGTAGCAGCTTGACCACCAAATAAATAAAATTTTCCTTCATAGATAACAGAAGACATTCCTTTGCGTGACGGTGGGACTTTTCCTTGAACTATAGGCACACTTAATTCATTTGTTTTAGTATTAAGACTATAAACGTGACTTGTGTCTGGATCTTTCCAATTTACACCTCCTATAATAAATATTAAATCTTTATTAACACCTCCTAATTCAGAATCATGAAATATTGTTAATGGTAAGTTTATTTGACTCGTTAAATCTGTGAATTCAAGTCTGTTCGCATCTGTGAAATTAATATTAAGATAAAAAACATCGCTCATAGGGTTGGGTACATATGGTGTTACTTTAAATCCTCCTATAAAATATATTCTACTTTCGGATCTGACGTAAACTGCTGAATGCGCATATCGATTTTCTGGCACATATTGCCCATATACATTTAATATATATAATATTATGATAAGTATCAAATGATAAAAATGATAATTATGATGTTTTAGACTTTTATACATCGTTTTGATTTGTATAATAATAAGATAACGTTGATGAATTTATTCTTTTTTTGCAGTGGGAATTATTGGATTAGAAAAAAAAAATAAAAAAATCCCCATAAGAACCTCCTTAAAATTTGTAAATTAGGCATATCGAAAAATCTTTTTATATTATAATCTTTTTTACGTTGCATTAATGTTGTGTTTATTCATGTATTTTTTTTTTTTTTTTTTTTTTGTGTTTATTCATGCACCATACTTTATTATTGTAATATTACCATTTTTAGGAAGTATTAGTTAATCATCATTCCCGAATTACTTTTTTTTTAAATTCCACTAAATTAGTTAATGTTACACAAACAAATTAACGGAATTTAAAATATAATCGTAAAATTGAAAAATTTTACGCACGTAAAATAAAATTTACAAAATCATGAATTTAATAGATTTATTGTATAAACATCGTCGTAGCGAGCCTACAATCCTCTTAGGATTAAAACTCTTTACAATGATTATTCTTATGGCTTGCTTGACAGGTTATCTCGTCGTTGTAATAATTGATGTAAAACAAGATTCTCCAATTATCGCAACTTCTTTTAATAATGTTGATGCCGTTCCTCTTCCGGGTAAATAAAGAATTTTTTTCTAATTTTTTTAACTAAATTTATAAACTTAACATCGTAACATATTTAAAAAATTGACAGGCATGCATTTTCTTGCTAGCTACAATTTCAGCATCACAAGCTGTCATCAATTTTATTGTAAGTATTTTTTAAAAGAGGGAAAGAAAAGTTCCCTTTCCTATAATTAAAATGAATTTAATTAATTTGCATATTTTCTCCATTAGTCGTCGATGGGAATATACGTGCAGTTGAATGTTCGCTGGAAGACACAAAAGTTTATTACGATGAGACAACCAAAGCTTATTTTGGAGTTTATACCCCATCACCAAATGTTTTATTTAATGATTTAATGAAAAGTTTGCTTTTAATATTGACTATTAACGAGGATTTTACACCCGGTATAACACAGGAAATGACCTTACATGCTTTTGATTCAGGTATGGTCAAAAAGATTTTCGAAATTCATATAAAAAAAAGTATTTAATAAAATTTTTTTAATGTAGAATATGATATATATTATAAAAATTTGAGTGAATTATCTGTGTATGACAATTCAATTCTTACATTGAATAGGTATTCAGTAGAGCCATCTCAGGTATTTGGAATTTTCTTTAATATAAAGAGTAGAGTATTTATTGGAAAGTTACTAACAAGCCTTTTTTTCCGTAGATTTACGATTTTACATATTCTCGTGTAATTAGAGAATTAATAAAACCAAATTGGATGAATGATTTTGGTGTTCCTCCAACCTATGAACAGAAATCAAATATTGAATCAACTTTACGTAAGTCATATTATTTTATTAATTAAATTTTATTAAATATTTACTATTTATTATTACTTTTCTCTAGTTGGAGGGCCATCACCATATAATTCGACAGATAGTTCTTTAATTTCATTTATAATACAACCTAAGAGCAAAAATGTCATTCGAATAGATAAAGAAGTTAGGTTTGTATATGATATTATTATAGTCATAATTAAATAGTTCTTTGTTTCGGTTACTAACTAAAAAAACAAATTATACTGTATATTCTAATTAATAAAAAGATCAAAGACAGTAAGTACTTTTATAATATTGAGGATCTTTTTTATAACTATGAAAAAGAATTAATCAAATTCGTAAATTCGATTCTATATAGTACTTAAGTGGACTGGGTTTGATAGGTGGTGCATGGGGATTAATGGCAGCAGTATACGCATTTCTTTTTGGTAAACTTTATTTACTCATTTTTTTTTTTAAAAAAAAAACAAATATAATTTAAAATTATTTAATTAATTTACAGGTGCGAATACGTTACGACCATGGGGAGCCGTGCAATCATATTGCTGCGGATTTTCTCGATCAACACAGAAAAAACTTAAAGATGCTCTCCCAATAATTCCATTTTTTGATACAACACATAATGATAATTTTAAAAATTATTCTCCAGATCGCGAACTTTCTTTAGCTGAACGGAATGAATTAAGAATTAGTGGGTTAGAATTATTTTTACAAGAATATGTTGTTGATGTACATTATTTAGATGGTATTCGTAAAACGACTCTGAATTCTACAACTAACACTATTAATGACCAAGAGGCACAAAATATGAAAGAAGAGTTTGACAATATAAATACGAATACAACGCACTCTACGGAATCTACTGTTACGCAGCAACAAGAAGGTTTTGTTCCACCAAATTTCACTCAAAATTCAACATCTAATAATTTCACTTCGGTTAAGTACGACTAGATTGTTACTAACATAATGAAATAGAATTAATAATTGTTATCTAGTAATTAAAAATAAACAGTTTAATACAATTGTTCCTTAACCTTAACTTAATAATTCATATGTATAATCTCTTAAAATAAAATATCTGTAGACATTTATTACGTAATATTCATCCTTAATATATAAAATCTTATGTTACACTATATATATTAAGACCTTTCTTTACCCACTCCCTAAAATATTACGTGTCATTGACCTAACCAGTAACACTGGGATGCCAAATTGTTTATTATTTTAATCGTCTGACAATGCAAACTCATATATACTTGATATTACAATTATTACGTGGTGCAATTGTAGACTCATTAATCACGCTAATAAACAAACTGATCTTTTAAAGAATGTGTAAGTACATCAATTCTTGTAATAAACTTGAATCTTATTCAATATGCATTTACCGATTGTGTATCCTGTGTATCCGGAGGTCAAGTCCGACACTTTTGCGTCTGGGCATGATTATCGTTTTCTGTGCGACATTGTTTTTTCTATTTAGGAGAACAAGTAATATCTAAAAGGTGCTGCAAATAAAAATGTTTGCTTCTTAAATAAATAAATTATTTTTTTTTATAAAATTTTCAATTATAATAATAGATAATAATCGTCAAATTAAATTATTCCGCGACAATTGCATAAAACAGGTTAGTTAAATGATTGACTGGTCTTTGGCTTTAAAATTAAGTTTATGATTTCTCAAAGCAAATAACACAAATAACCTACGGGGGAATCAAAATTTGATCATTTGATCTCGGGCTCTTGCGGAGACCAATCAAATTTGATTTACCGATATAGCAGTTATTCAGCACTTTGCGCCGAATAATTATTCTATATTTTTATTTGTTATTAATTTACATGCATAGAGGCTGGTCCGTGTTATAAAGATTTTAATGGAAAGAAATAAACGGGACAGTCAACAATAGTCTCAAGTAATTACCACCCCTATGCACCTCATAAAAAAGTTATTCCGTATTTATTCCGTAAATGAGACGGAATTTTACAAAAAAACAAATTTTTATAAGGATACATCACAGATATTTTCTAATTGGACAACGAAATTATTGTAATTGTTATTTATGTTTTTTTGCTTAACCTCCACTATCCAGTAATAGAATCAAAAGGTCATACAAGATGGATCTTCATGTTTTTAGAATTAAAGCTAAATTTAAACATTTTGAATTTGACCGTTTCATTATCCAGTATTTTAATATATCGCTAACTCTAAATCTTAAACTGATTGAAGTAAAGGAAATGAATGCAATTTTCTCAGAATATATTGATTATTCTCAATAAATTCTTTTCATTAACACGACAGTCAAGTACGACTAATATCTGAATATTTCATGTTTTCTTAAGAATCTTTATATTTCGTTTTTTTCTTTAAATACATTTAACCAACGGAGCGTTTCACAATCTAAACTACTTGGTTATTAACATAATGGAATCAAATTAATTTTATTTGATAGTTGTTTTATATATAAAATTTTTGTCTAATTAAAATTGCGAGATCAACAAAATCTTTATTAAATATAAAAAAAAAAAACTAATAATAAAAATACATACACTATGTATATATATATAATATAGTAAGTTTTTTTTTATGAAGATTCAATTAAAGTAGAATGCTGTTATTTTTGATATTCAGAATGATACTTATCATCATTAATTTGAACTCCATTTAAAGAGTTCTGATCATTAGGTACACCCAATTGTAATTTATTTTTCTTCGCACGTTTATAAGCTATTGATAATGCTGCGAGTATTATTAAAACAATTGATACTGAACCAATTGATATACCAATAATCACCACTTTACTTAATAAAGATTGTTGTGGGTTTATATTGGTATTTGTAGAAGTTGGAAGTTGTAGTTGTGTTTCATTAGTTTGTCCAAATACCAAGAGAGGATACGATGAAATTTGTGATTTACCAAATAAAAATGCATAAATTATTTTATTGGTTTGATCAATCCTATTTGGTTTGTCCGTAAAATTTCCTAAAAAAGTGAATATAAATTATAGATTAGAAAATTGTAAAAGAGATTATTTAAAAAGAATAAACTTACCAAAAGCGATAAACATAATTGTATTCACCGCTGTAGCAGTATGAAAAGCAAGTTTTGGAATTGGATTATTTTCCCTAAGATCAAATGCTGGTATTGACCATACTAATGTATTAACATCCAACATCGCGATCGTTTCTTTAGCTGGTAAATTATATGGTGTAACATCAGAAGAAAAAAATCCCCCATATATGATAATTTTTCCGTCCACTATATAAAAAGTAAAAATTTAAGACATTTATACTAGCCAAATGACTTCTAAGTTCTAAATGACTTAGTCAAAAAATATTTACTTAAAATGGAAGTATGGCCAGCTCTAGAACCTGGCATAATCATTGGATCTGCAGCCGTAGCTTTCTAGAAAAAAAATTTTTTTTTTTTAATTAAATTATGTTCGACTGGTTTAGTGGGTTTAAGATATATTTTCACTAACCTTTAAAGACCATGTATTTCCTACAACGTCATATTGATAGATCTATGATTAAGTGATGAACAAATCAAAATTAAAATTAATCATATTTAAAATATCGGGTAGGCAACGCAACATATACCTCGGTTAATGGAGTATAAACGTTAACTTGTGTTTTACCGCCAATGTAATAAATAATCCCATTAACTAATATAGCCGAATATAAGGTTCTGGTAACTGGAGAATTAATTAAGCTACCAACTTGCCAATTTAAATTAATTGTATCAAAAACATCAAAATTATTATAATATAAAGCATCAACGTCAGCACCATTATGACCACCAAATAAATAGATTTTTCCTTCATAGATGACAGAAGAAATTCCTTTACGTGTTGGTGGAACCTTTCCTTGAACTATAGGCACACTTAATTCATTTGTTTTAGTATTAAAACTATAAATGTAATTTGTTTCTGAATCATTCCAATGTACACCTTCTAAAATAAATATCAAATCTTTATTAACACCTCCTAATTCAGAAATATGAAATATTGATAATGGTAAGTTCACTTGACTTTTTAAATCTGAAAATGTTAAATAATTTAAATTTGATAAGTTTGGTATATTAACATCAAGATAAAAAAAGTCACTCATAGTTTCCGGTTCTGTTGGTATTGATTTAAATCCTCCTATATAATATATTCTACGTTCAGATTCAACGTAAACTGCCGAATGCCCCACTCGAGATTCTGGCACAAATTGACCATATACATTTAATATACATAATATTATGATGAGTATCAAATGATGATAATGATGATTTAGACTTTTATACATCATTTGACAATAAGTGTAATAATACGGTAGCGTTAGTGTGTTGGTGAATTTATTCTTTTTTAATATAAAAAAAATTTTCGGTAGAACCTTCTAAAATTTGTAAATTAAGTTATTGAAAATTCTTTTTATATTATAATCTTTTACGTTGCATTAATGTCGTGTTTATTCATGCACTCCATATTTCATTATTATAATATTACCCTTTTTAGAAAGTATTCGTTGATCGTCATTATATAATATTACCCGTATTACTGTTTGTTTTTTTCAAATTGGTTAATATTACACAAAACAAATTAGAGGAATTGGAATTTAAATATAATCGTAAAATTGAAAAATTCTTATGCACGTAAAATAAATTTTACAAAATCATGAATTTAATAGATTTATTGTATAGACATCGTCGTAGCGAGCCTACAATCCTCTTGGGATTAAAACTCTTTACAATGACTATTCTTATGGCTTGTTTGACAGGTTATCTCGTCGTTGTAATAATTGATGTAAAACAAGATGACGGTCTAATTATCAAAACTTCTTATATTAATGTTGATGCTATTCCTCCTCCGAGTAAATTAAGAAATTTTTTTCTACGTTTTTTTTAATTAATTTATAAATTTTACATTGAAATATTTTTATAAATTGGTAGCTGTGTATTTTTTTGCTTCTTACAATTTCAGCATCTCAACGTGTATTCAAATTTATTGTAAGTGTTTTTAAGAGGGAAAGAAATATAATTAAAATGAATTTAATTAATTTGTACATTTCTTTTTCATTAGTTGCTAATACGACAGTTAAATGTTCACCAGAAGACTCAGAAGTAACAGCTTATCAGAATGGAATTTATTATAGAGTTTATAACCCATCACCAAATGTTTTATTTAATGATTCATTAACGGGTTTAACTTTAATATTAACTACTAGCGAAGATTTTAATCCCAATACAGACCAAGAAATAAACGTATCTGCTTTTGATTCAGGTATTATTAAAATTTATATTCGAAATTTCATATATAAATATTTAATAGTTTTTTGTATTATCATAGAATATGATATATATCTTAAGTTATTGAAAGAAATGACTGCATATGACGATTCAATTTATAATTTGAATAAGTATAAAATAAAGCCAGCTCAGGTGTTTGGAATTTTCTTTAATATTAAGCATGAAATATTATTTATGAGAGATTACTAACAAGTCTTTTTTCGTAGTTTTACGATTTTTCATATTCTCGTGTGATTAGAGAATCAATGAAACCAAATTGGATGAACGATTTTGGGGTTCCTCCAACTTATGAACAGCAATCGAATATTGAATCAGCTTTACGTAAGTCATATTATTTTATTAATTCTAATAATATTATATTTTACTATTTATTCTTATTTTCTTTAGTTGGAGGACCGTTGTTATATAAGTCGACGGAGGGTAGTTTAATATCTTTTAATATAAAACCTAAGAGCAAAAATGTCATTCGAGTAGAAAAAGAAGTTAGGTTTGTAAATATTATAGTCATTATTAAATAATTCTTTATTATTTCAGTTATTAACTAAAAACAACTTATATATTTAATTAATAAAAAGATCAAAGACAGTAAGTACTTTTATAATATTGAGGAACTTTTTTCTTACTATGAAAAAAAAAAAATGAATCAAATTCGATTCTATTTAGTACTTAAGTGGACTGGGTTTAATAGGTGGTGCATGGGGATTAATAGCAGCACTATACGCATTTCTTTTTGGTAAGTTTTATTCACTTATTTTATTAAGAAATAAATATAATTATAAAATATAATTTTGAAATTTTAATTTTGTAGGTGCTGATACGTTACGACCATGGGGAGCCGTACAATCATATTGCTGCGGAATTTCTCGATTTACACAAAAAAAACTTAATAAAATCTTCCCAATAATTCCATTTTCTGACACATCATATAAAAATTTTAAAAAATATCCTCCATATCACGAACTTTCTTCAGACGAACAGACTGAATTAAGAATTAATAGTTTAGAATTATTTTTACGAGAATATGTTGTTAACGTACATTATTTAGATGGTATTCAGGATAGATTAGTAATTAGGCCTAAAACGATTTCGGATTCTACAACTAACCAAGAGGCACAAAATATGAAAGAAGAGTTTGATAATCTAAATGCGAATTCAACAACGCACTTTACGGAATCTACTGTTACGCAACAACAAGAAGGTTTGGTTAATGATTCCATTACGGTCAAGTACGACTGATTTGCAAATTTAAATGTGAACGAATTTGTATCACTTATATTCAAAATAATTAAAAATTACAAATTTAATTAATATAAGCAGTTTAATACGTTATTTTGTACAATTGTTCCTTAACCTTAACTTAATTCGTATGTATTATTATCTAATTTCGAAAGATTTATAACCAGTAACACAGCATTTTCGGGATACCGAATTTGCTTATATTTAATGCACGAATATTTTATGATACAAACGAAACTCATGCATGATGTTACATTGTGTAATTGTAATCTATTATTATTCGGCTAACAACTCATTTAGAAATAGTAAACTAATTCATTAATAAATAAAAATAAAATAAAACTTATACTGTATATCTAGTTTTTAATAATCTACTATATATTAATCAAAATTATTCACTGACCCTTCGTGTACCACATTTTCTGACGATCTTATATAATATAATAGGTGTTGCATGTATGTGAACATAATTGTTATATAAATTTTAAACATGCTTCATTAATAATAAAAACTCACGCAATTGTAATCCATATTATGATTTAACTAGATTGTTGTGATTTATAAATAAAATATTTATTTCGTTACTGTGCAATCGAATAAAAAATTACGAATGAACATTAGCAAAATTCAATATACCTTGATTTGGCAATTCGGCGTACAGAGATCGGATCAGACCATCAGTATGTCGCATGAACTTGAATCTTATTCGATGTGCGGGTAGTCGCCGATTTTGTTGTGTTGTTGTACATCAAAAGTTGAGGAATGATTTCCCACTTTCTGTGCGACATTGTTTTTTCTACTTTCGCTGCCTTAGAGTGCTGCAGGTGGTAGATTTGGTAGGCTCACATAAAATGATTGTTACTTTATTTGAATAATTTATAACTTTTCAATTATGATGGTGGATAACTAATTTATGGAGAACTATTAATTAATACCGTTAAATATTTTTGTACATTTTAAAAGCCATTCATTTCTCATTAAAATTGGTTTAGCCGAATGATTGGCAGATTAATAAACTGTTAAACTAGTTTATAGTTTCTCAAAGCAAATACCCTAAATAAGTGTTTTTTTTTCGTGTACTGTAAATAATTGTTCGTCGTATTATAATTAGAACGGTAATTGCTAATAAAGTATAGTTCATGAAATATTTTTCTTAGTTTCATTTTTTGTTTGCATGTGTAAGGGCTGATTTGTGTTACAAAAATTCACAATAATTATTTTCCATAAAATATCATACCTAAATTATTACATGAAGCTGTTGTGTATTAGGCGAAATAGCCATCAATAGTATATGCCCATAAAAAGTTATTCTAAAAAATAAGTTTCGCAACGTTCCGTAAATGTATAACGTATTCTCGGTCAAATCATGGAAATTATTCGTCTGATTAGAAAATTTTGCCGATACGGACGGAAACATTCGGATAAAATTTTTTGAAGCATAGTTATTATATACTATTTGTATTTTTCTAATTTTTACCGTACTTGTATGTTAGTAATAAAACATCAAGAGATTAAATGATGTGTTATAGCCTAATAGAGTTATAGTGTATATATTATACATGTTGCCGAAACTCAGCAATTTCGGAATAATTTCAGGATTCGGTCTTCGGCCAATCATTCCAAAACGAAACTCCAGCCGAAAGTTGAAAGTTGGGCCGAAATATTCTGGCCGGCATTATGCATTTTGGCTCGCATTATGAAATTTAGTGTAACATTAATGTAACACAAAATTTCACTAAGCTTTTATCAGGCGTCACGTGATATATGGTTCTGGCCAGCACTAAAAAATTTGGCCAGAATTATAAAATAGTTTCGGACATTGATCTCAAGTTTCGGCCAGAGTTTCGTTTCAGATTTCGGTACTTTCGGATTCGGCCATGTTTTCGGCAAGTTTCGGCTACATGTATAGTATAAATACCCCACGTGATACAATATATAATGCACATGACAAGACTCAAAATCTGCATGGCTAATTTTTGGCTGAATCAATGAATCATGTCCTAAAGCTGGCCGATTTTTCCCGTGACTTATCAACATGATAATAACTATGAAAACGGAAACCGGTATTAAGCACGCTAAGGAATAGGTTCAGTTCCTGGGATGAGCGGAATAACTAAATCCGGTCATTTTTCAATACCTTAATCGTCTGTGGGGATAGACCTTTTCGCGAACCATCTGAATGCTCAACTTCCGAAATATTTTGCATGGAAACCAGACCCACACGCAACAGCTATAAACGGACATGATATCATCATAAGTATATAGTCCTTCGTTACACTTCGGACTAATGAATTTTCTCGGAATATAGGTGTTCCTTCAAGAAATTCATTTTCACTTGAACATTATTCTTCCCAGATAACAAATTAATACTTTATTTAAAAATAAATTTAGGGCAATATATTTTTATATTAGTAATGGAGTAAATTATCCTAGCAATCCTTTAACAAATAAGAATGAAAGATGTTATTAGAATGTTCTCATTAATATCAAAAAAACAATAATATGTTTGTACATTATATAGCCGTGCAGTAGTCAACATTGAGGCCTTCTTCAACGGTAATAAGCCTTTATTTCTTTATAGGCGGACACATTACGATCATGGGGAATTGTACAATTGTATTACTGCGGATTTTCTCGCTTAACAAAAAAACCTTCGAGCTTTGATACGTCATCTACTGATACTTCAAATTACGCTCTTTCATTAGCTGAGAAGGATGATTAAGAATTGATGGTTTAGAATTCTAGAGCGACTTTAAATTCTACAACTGATACCATGAATAATCTTAACAATCAAGTGATAAAATATGAGAGAGGAAGCTTTAATAATAAAAATTTGAATTCAATGTTTACACAGTTTCCACTACAGATGAGTAACAATCCTCAGCAATAACGATAGTTTTACATAAAATAGTACATTGTTTCTATAATAAGGGGAAACTTTTAGGTAATTGATTGCCAATGAACTTTAATTATTAATACTTTAATAGATAACTATATATATAAAAAATAATTTAGCCGAATGATTGAATTTTTTTTCGTGCACTGTAACGAACTAATACATTTATTAAATTGCGTATTTTGTACCTTGTAGAACTTCCGTTTGAAGTCATAATGAGATTCGAATATCTGAAAATATTTGAAGTGTAAATTCGAACATCTCAATTATTATTCGAATCTCTCATGTGATTTTCAAACTTACTAAATCTCTTAGACTCTTACATTAGGTAATTAATATTCTTTTTAAATAAATAAACTATTTAAAAAAAGCATAAGAAAGTTAATTTAAAGTCCATTTTGCCCGAGACTCGTAATAATTATATTCGAATCACATGATATATTCGAGTCAGATAATTAAGCCGCAGTTATGAGTCACATTTGGAGTCAACATATTCATATCAGATATGCAACATGTGAAATGCGATTTCTCGGATTTTCTCGGAGATAACAAAACTAATGATTTTAAATTTAGAAAAAATAAAAATAAATTAAGAACAATATATTTTTATTTTCAATACATTTATTTTTAACTTTGTTTATTTTTTATAATAAAATATTATCAGATACATTTACTTATATCGGGGGTACTTGCTAATTGTCACGTTTTTTATGCAAAGTACTCAAAGTTAGTAAAACACGGATTTTTAAGGGCGATATTAAATATTCAAGTAGACGGGGATAAATAAATTTCTGTAAATCAATATATAATTAGTTATTATACTTGCAAAAAAATTTATATAATTTGAATCCCAACTTCGTTAAATTCACCTTGATCATTACCTTTATCCATTTTCATCTAACTTTTTCCCTTTTTGTACCTATAATATACTACACATATTGTTAAAACAACCGCAACTAATCCAACTGATACACTAACAATCACCAATTTATCTGGTGAGGATGTCTCTGTCGAAGTTGGTGTACTAGAAGTATCCGATGGTTTTGGCAATAAAATTGGTGGTGGTGTTATTTTATACCATCTAAAATTAGGATCATCTAAATAAAATAAATAAATTAAATTGTCACTTTTAATTGGTACGCTCATAAGATTTCCTAAGAAAAAAAAATAACAATAAATTAAGTAAAAACGGATGTCTGTATATATTATACTATTAAAAACAAAGAATAACTTACCAAAAGTGAGTATCATAGCAGATGTATCTGCTAATAACGTAGCAGTATGATAGGCAAGTTCTGGTACATTTGTATCATTAAGTGGGGGTATTGACCATACTAAATTAACTGTATCTAACATAACGAATGTCTTTTTAGCTGGCATATCATATGATGTATCACCGTTAAAGTACGATCCTCCATATACAAAAATTTTGCCATCAACTAATAAAAAAAAAAGAAGAAATACTTTTATGTTTTGAAGAGAAAGAGAAAAAAAAAAAGAATAATAATAATAAATAAATTACACGAGACAGCTGAATGTCCAGTTCTAGATCCTGGCATAGTTTCTATATCCGCAGTTGTAGCTTTCTGAAAATGAATTATTTTGTTATCAGTTAAAACAATTATATTAAACTTTGTATTGTATTACCAACCTTTAAAGACCATTTATTACCGATAATGTCATATGTAAAAATCTTTAATAACAAATATTTTAAAATATTGAGCATAATAAATTCTAAATAATTTAATTATTTACATACTATACCTCAGTCATTGGAGAAAAAACATATTGTTGTGATCTACCTCCAATATAATAAATAATTCCATTAACTAATGTTGCCGTATAACCGGATAATGCAACAGGAGAGTTAACTAAACTACCAACTTGCCAATTCAAATTAATAGTATCCAATATATCAAATTGATTAACATAAATTGAAACTGACTCGTTCAAAGTATACGTTCGTCCACCAAATATATAAATTTTTCCTTCATTACTAACAGAATTCATTTCTATACGTGATTGTGGAGCTTTTCCTTCAATTACTGGTACACTTAATTCATTTGTTTTAGTATCAAATCTATATAAAAAATTAGTATTATTTTCATTCCAATGTGCACCTCCTATAATATATACTGAATCTTGATTAGCGCCTCCAATATTAGCAGTATGAGAGAAAGTATGAGGTAATTTTACTCCTTGACTTTTTAAATTTACCCATGATGAGAAAAAATTTTTAGTAGTATTAATAATATCAAGATAAAAGATGTCACTTTCAGGATTTTGTTTTAAATTGTCAGGATTATTTCCTCCTATATAATATATTTTAAGTTCAGGTTTAACGAAAACTGCTGTATGCTTTATTCGAGATCCTGGTATATATTCCTGTCCGTATACTATTATTATGTTAAATAGTTGGCTTAATATAATAAATATCGAATAATGAATTAATTTCCTATACAACATTGTTGACTTTAGGTTAAAAACTAAAAAATTGATGGTACGAACTGAACAAAGGATTTTGATATACATTTAGTTGCACATCCTTCATTTTTAAATTTCCTTTCTCATTATTTTCATTAATATGTACTGAAGATCCGGTATCGTTTTACAAGATGATTAAATTGTGATAAAAATAGCTATTATATATGCTCTCACAGCCACAATTATCGATTATATAAAAAAGGAATTTCGTGTTGTATATCTAAGTAATCTAACCAAATGTAAATTTTACATGCATATACATTATGTTGTATAAATTCAAAATTCTTATATAGATATATAAATATATATATGAACGAAACAATATAAAGATGCGAGAAAAAGTGATATTTATTTTTTACATCAATTTGTTTTTTAGATTTAATCTCTCGATTATAAATTTCGCCCAAATAAAAAAAATTATTACTTTCAAATATGAATTTAGCAGATTTATTTCGTGGATATCGTCATACTGAACCTAGAATTCTCTTATTACTAAAACTTTTTATGATGATTATACTTGTAGCTTGCTTAGCAGGTTATCTAGCTATTATATTAATTGATATACAACAAGATGCTCCAATTATCAGAACTTCTTTTCATATTTCTGATGATAATCTCCCTATTCGTCCTCCAAGTAATTGATGAATTCACTTTGATAATATATATATATATTTTTTTTTTTGTTGGCAATTATCGCGTGAATCAATATTAAATATTATAAAATTTTTAGGTTTTATTTTTAAATCCGAATATAATTTCACTATAGCAGGTTGTATTGAAGAACATTATACTCAAGATTTTAAATCTTCAATGGTAAATTGTATTTCGGATATGACTCACCCTGATGAAAAACGTGGGCCATCCCAAGCCTATTTTGGAACTTATCAACCATCAAAAGATACCTTCTTTTATACTTTTAATAAATCAAGTGATCATACTTTGACGGGTTCTGTAGTTATAGGTCTTATTGTACTTGATACTAATTACACATCTGCTAGTAATCAAGCATTGATTCAAATAGTTGCTTTTGATTCAGGTAAAAGCCAATTAAAAGAATTTTATAATTTGAATTTTAATATAAAGTATTCATTCATAAATTCTATAAACAAATTTAGGTTATGAAACGCCTATTAGTTATATTAGTGACAACAAAATTGATGAAATAATTTCTAATCAAAAAGATTTGGGAACAAGTTTAGGTTTTAATGATTCTGTTGCTATGATGAACTTATATAATTTGGCGCTAAATCAGGTATATAGTATCATTTAAATTATTATAAAGTCAGATTTTAACGAATTCTTTACTTTTTGTAGAACTACCAATTTGAGTTTAAACGTAGAATTAAGGAGGTTATAGTACCAAGTTGGATGAATGATTTTGGTATTCCTTCTAAATATGAGACACAATCATATATTGAATCTACTTTATGTAAGGCTTATATTTAAATTAAATTAATTTTTAAAAAACTTTAAATTTAATAATAATAATTTTATAGTACCATTACCTAATGGAACTTCAAATAATATGGTGATGATGAGTATAACGCCCAAGGGTGCTATCATTCAAATAGACAGAGAAATTAGGTGTGTATCATAATTATAATCAGATTATGCGTATTTCATTACTTTATTAGCTTCTAATTATAACTGTAATAAATATTAATAATCTCTTCATTTATGAAAAGAACACATACGGTGAGAGTTATTTTATCTTACTAATAAAATACTTTAAGGATTCTTCCATTTACAATATTAATTAAAATGAATATTTATTTCATATACAGTACTTAAGTGGTATGGGTTTATTAGGTGGTGCGTGGGGATTAGCGGCAGCAATGTATTCATTGCTTTTTGGTAAGCTAAAATTTCTTGTAATAAATAATTAAATATATAATATGTAAACTTTTATTTTTCTTTATAGGCGCAGACACAATACGACCATGGGGTATCGTTCAATCTTATTGTTATGGATTTTCTCGCTTAACACGAAGAAAACTTAAAGAAACTCTCCCAATAATTCCATTTTATGATAAATCATATACCGATGCAAATCACGATCTTTCATTAGATGAAAAAATTGAATTAATACCATTATTACAATCAAGAATTGATAGTTTAGAATTATTTTTACGAGAATATGTAGTTGATGTAAATTATTTAGATAATATTCAGAATAGATCAGTTAGTTCTAATCAAGAGATACAAAATACAACTGAAGGACCGAATAGTCTTAACAATCAAGCGGTACAAAATATGAGTGAAGGACCAAATAATCTCAACAGTCAAGAGGTACAAAATACGAGCGAAGGACCGAATAATCTCAACAATCAAGAGGTACAAAATATGAACGAATAGTCTTAACAATCAAGAGGTATAAAAAGAGGTGTGCGAATTCAATATGTTCTACGGTTTCGGATTCTACAATAACAAAGAAAACCTCTGATACACTATACCAATCAATTTTTTATTTAGTTCAATATCAGAGATAAATTTTTTTTTAATCATTTTTTTTACATTTCGTTGAAATTTTTGTTTATTAATTTATTAATAATAATCAATGCTGATAAAAAAAAGACTTCTTTTCGTTTTTTTTTGTAATTTTTTGGCTGTATCCATCCCTTAACATAAGTTATAATAAATTTTTAATGACATAAAATAAAATATTTGATTATATTGATAATAAATCATAAATTCCATAATACTAATGCAACTGCCATTCTTTCGTACTATATTATGCATCAGCTTTTCTATAAATATAATGTAAAGTATTTTAATGCTGTAATCCAAATGGCTCTTTTCAGGAAATATTTAAAATTGAGGTACCTGAGCAAAGTAAAAAAGATTATGTAAAGAAAGGCAAGCCTGTGGCAGAAAAAGAGGAAAGGTCAACAGTTTACAGCTAGATAAACTTTAGGGGAAAAAAAAATAAAACCTATCTCAATGTGAAAAATAAAAGCTCATGGAAGATGCTAATTTCTTTATTCTAATTAAATAGGTAATAATAAAAGAAAAAGGATTTTCTGAATTTATAATAAAAATAGAATTATGCAACATATTGTACTTTTAATAAATAATAATCGTAATTATCGATTTATTTACGTCTATCATTTTTACTAAAAACAAGAAATTGATCTATTAATGGGGGAACTGCTATTTGATTTATTTCATTGCATTACTATAAGATAATAAAAGAAAACTAAGTAAGCTTTATTTAATAAATTTATGTAAAATTTTCGTGAATAGGTATTTTAAATATCACTATGATATTTTTGCAATTTAGTCCTATTCTTTTCTTGTAATCTTTCATATTCTAAGACTGTGGTCAGTATTTTCTTGCAAACTTTCTTCAAAATTTTTAAAGTACAATATTTATGAAAATTTTCTAAGATTATTGATTATTTGATATTTGTCTTTCTTTTTTAGATTAGTCAAGTATTTTTATCACAATCTTTTCAATTCAAAACTTTTTTTATCGTAGAGTAAAAAACAGACAATGGCCTTTTCCTATTCGGTAATCTGTCGTACTCTCTGAAATATAGTGGTACAATTTTTTTTTATATTTTTTAAAATAATGTGCCCCATAGACTCCCGGTCAAACGATCATCAAAACACTTGCAAAGTATACTCTTTTTTGGTTGTGATCAACACGAAAAGTTTGCCTGCGAATTTAATATCTTAGATTTTAGATTATAGATTTAATAATAAGAATAATGAATCCTAAATCTAAGAG